ACAGTGAAATGAGAGTAAAAATACTTAAAACCAGCAGAAAATAAACAAAAGAACAAAAACTGGCAAAAAATTTTAAGATAGCTAAAACAAATGTGCAGTAAAACAGCTTAAATGTAGCTGAAATTGCTGATATTAGTACAAGGAACACGTTTGGTGAGTTATGCAACAACAACAACAACAACAAAAAAAGATTTACAGGCCACTAAAATGTTTTCAACTCAAAAGCCAAATTTAGAAACAAACAGCTTGACAGTAGCCAAAACAGAAAAAGCAGCTGTTATAAGCAGAATTCTACTGAAAGAAGTACAAAAAGTAAAAATTTGCAGAAATAAACACAAAAAAGCATAAATTTAGCAGTTGAATAGCAGGAGCAAAAAAGAAATAGTAGAGAAGATTTGCATAAAAACAAGTTATAGTTATCAGACATAATTTGAAATTAGGACCCAGATAGTGAAAGGGGTGTAAAAATGTCAAATTAGCAGGAAAGAAAGAATAAAAGCACAAAAGTGACAATTTGTTTTAAAATTACTAAAACAGATGAAATGTGCATTAAACAAGCAAAATGTAGCTGAAAATTCTGGATTTAGTATAAAGAAGAAGAAGTAGCACATGTTTGCAGCAGAAAGCAGCTGGAACAGCCTCCAAAATGTTATTTTTTTACAAATCAAATTTTAGATTAAAACGGCTGAATAGCAGCTAAAATTGCAGCACATAGCTGAAATTATCAGAAAACAATTGAAAGAAGCAAGCAAAGCACAAATGAGCAAAGAGAAGCTGAAACAAGGGAAAAAAGCACAAATTTCCAGAAGAATAGCTGAAAGAAGTAGAATTTTGGCAAGAAATAGCAGAAAAAGGCTAAATTTAGCAACAAAAAAAAAGAAACTGAAATTAACACAAGAGTTAAGAAGAGCTGAGTCATAACAAAATGTTTTATGTGCAGTAAAGATCTGTAAACATTTTGAAGGGAAGGATTTTGAAAATAGCTCCATTCATTTTCAATGGGAAAAATGTGGCCAAAAAACGTGAAATAACCAAAAATGGATGAATAGCTCAAACATCAAACGTCATGGAGGCGCTGAACATTTTGATAGATGAATTGTTGAAATAGCACAAAAACTGCGGAACGAGATGGGTGCTGAAAAACGCACAAAAGAAAAAATGATCTTAATGATGTGAATGCTTAAATATTCTTGGGGCATTTTCCCTTCATTTTTGTTTTCAGTAAGTAAAAGGCATGCTCGATCTGATTCAGGTCAGGTGATTGACTTTGCCACTGCATAACTTTCCACATCTTTGTTTTACAAAACTTTAGTTGCTTTCACACTATGCTTAGGATCATTTGGCCTCATGCAAGAACCTTTCGTACGCACAGATTTGTTCTTAAGTTGTGCGTACGAGTGATTTAGGAGAATTTGTGGCATTCACCAATGTTTTCGTATTCTAAGATTTTTGTCCAGATATGAACAAAATTCACGAGTGGTCCAGACCTGTCGTATATTTTACGAGCAGTCAGTCTGCTGTTACAGTATATAGACAGATTTTCTTCACTAATAACTTTATATTTCATTAGTTTGAAGATATTTTGAGTTGAACATAAATCACACTCCATAATTATGTTGACAATAGGCTATTCTGMTTGAATTAGAGTTATAATTTTAAATGTAATAATTTAGACTAACAATATAAATTGTCTGTCTGGCCAGCTTATCCAGGATCGGGTCGCGGAAGCAGCAGCAGAGAGACCCAGACTTCCCTCTCCCCAGCGACACTTTCCAGCTCGTCCTGGGGGGACTCTAAGACGTTCACAGGCCAGTGGGGATACATAATCCCTCCAACGAGTCCTGGGTTTTCTCCAAAGTGCCAGACTTATTCTGAAAACATTTTAAAATGCTTATTTCAGAACCACAACGGAGACCGGGGGGTTGGGGGGTACGGTGTGCAACGCTGCGGCTTCTGAATAAATGAAAATGATTTAACACAGTTGTTTATACTTTTAGCAGCTCTATTTATTCCACAGCTGAGCTGCTAAAAATGACAGATTTTCTTTTCTGGATCTCTGACAGACGGACTTCAATCTCTGAACTCGTAAAGTTTTTCTTTTTAGTTTTCGCTGTCATTTTCATGAAGACACTTCCTGATATCTGAGGCAGGAAACATAGCCTTATATGGTGTTTTTGGGCTGTGTGAAGCTGACACCCCACC